CAACAATACATTGTATGGGTCACAATTATACATTTCTCTTTTATGCTAAAAATCATTAGGATATTAAGTAAAGATCATGTTCCATGAAGATATTTTGTACATTTCCTACCGTAAATACATCATAACTTAATGTTTGATTAGTAATATGCATTGCTAAGAACTTCATTTGAACAACTTTAAAGATGATTTTCTCAATATTTAGATTTTTTTGCACCCTCAGATTCCAGATTTTCAAATATTGTCCGATCCTAACAAACCACACATCAATGGAAAGCTATTTATTGTATACATCTCTATTTCAAAACTGAACCTTATGACTAGTTTTGTGGTCCAGGGTCACATATGATTCATATCAAGTGACCATACTTCTAGCTAAGGCCTAGAAAATATACTTTTAACATGTTAAATGGCATGCAACATACATTTTAATAGACAGGACATAATAATCAACTGCCAAATCAACCTCTGATATGAGCTTTGTAAAGAGAATCGCTATGCAAATATGTAATACCACAACCTGTTCATATTTAATCTACTTTTTCTCTGCATACTTTCACAATTCAATAAAAGAAGTCGAATGCAAATCAGAGGACAGCTGCTAACAATGCTAACATATCCTCTTACGCATTTAATTCAAAATATCAACCTAAATCCGTCCATTTTCACGGATACATATAGTATTTAGCTTTAAAAAAATATCTAAAATTGTAATATTTGTGTTTAATAACTATACAACACGAGCACGTTAGCACACTAGCTGTTAGCTTCTTTGTTGAGAACGGCTCAAAGCAAAATGACAAACGCCAGCGAATAACGAGGGCGGCCTTTTTTTCTGTCATGCACGGATGTGGTTAAAGATGAAATATAACCGACATTAATAGTTTGATTTACCTGTAATTTGCAGCTCGTGATAAAAACCGAGGATAAACAAGCGCACGCGCTTCCCCTCCCCGGATCAGGAAGTGACACACACGAACTTCCGCCCCCTTCAGACCGAAACGAGCAACTGCAGCAGACGCCTGAGACCT